TAGTCTTTCAAACTGCACAGTTGCAACAAACACAGTCAAACTTTTAAGAGTTAAGATTTAAACACCAAAAGCAAATGAAGTGTGGAAAACATCTGCAGTCAAACTTTTACAATTACTGTTAGTTACTACAGTAGAACTGTCTTCTATGAACCATATTTTATTAAGTTTTCATTAAAATGTTAGCTTTTGATATGTTCAGAATTAAATAAGTTTCATACTACTGCAAACACACTAAACACTGGCCCTTTATTGGTACTGTATTAAAAGATGAACACCAATAGTAATTATTGTAAAGTATCTTTTCCTAAGGCTTAAATATTTTTTTCAGGTCATTACTATTCTTGTGTAAGACTTATGTACGTTGCATTTGCTTATAAATCAAAAAGAAAAGTTGTTACTGAATTCCAATGACAACAGTTTATTGAATGAAAAGCCAAAATTGTTTTGTTCCCAAAATGTCTAATTTATAGTCCGTTTTAATAAACTACAAAAACTGAGACTCAATTAGGTGATCTATCTGAGATCAGATGTCAACATTCCCTTATTATCTTTACTGCTTTCTCCTTTTCTTTATCAGTGGCCTATTTTGTGTCTTCTTTTCAATGTCATTATCTTTGAAGTTTTTTTTTTTTTCTCTATGTATTTTCTCTCTCAAGTACTTTCTAAGTGGATGTTGATTTCAATATCACTTTAATTGGCTTTATGGTTTTCTCCATCTATTTATTCTCTACTTCTGTTGTTAGTTTTACTGCTTTCTCTCTATTGGTGGGATTTTATGAGTGGATGTTAATTTTATATTTCAGTGTCAACATTTTTTTTTCCACTTGTGGTTTTTTCTGAGTGGCTGCTGATGCCAATATTACTGTTTATTGCCTATCTTATTTTCTACAACCATGTTTGTCACTCTTAAAGTTTTGAAGTGTGAGGAATTTCTGGTAATAGTGTACATGTACTTAGCATTTTTTTATATTAATCTCTGAACCTCTTTTTTTGTTTATATTTTTTAAGACTATAACTTTCCTTTCCTGAAAAAATAGCATCTATGTAAACTAATCTTAAAACAGGTACACACTAATACTTGTCTGCAGATATTTAGTTTCTCTGTACTTTTTAAGCAGATAAGGATCTGAACTCACGTTGCCAACATTAGTTGAGCTGACTGTAGCCCAATGTGGTTTAAAGTTTCTGACTGAATAATACAAAATCACTGAGATATCTGAATTTTTTAATCTGAAATAGTGACTCACTGCTAGTCTTCACATATCACCTCAACTACCAAATCATAAGAATATTTTTGAAAATACCAGTATTCGATAAGCTGAATTATATTATTCTCTATTCAGCATGTCAACAATATTAATCAGAAATATGATCACTAAAGTTAGTCAAAAGTTTGAAATGGTCCTAAGAAATCCATATTAATATTTAACCATGTTTCTTTGAGCTATAAAGGTTAAACAGTGATGGTGAAAACTAATGCTTGAAATGCTAAACAACCTTTAATCTGTTTCTTAACATGCTTGTCTGTTCACAAAATGCAAATTTCCTCTTACGATTGTTTTTAAAACACCTTGGTGAAGTGATATACTTATAAGTCAGTAACATTTCCCATATTTTAGTAAAGACTGAAATTAAAATTTTGGGCATTTGTTATGGCAAAATTAAAAACTCTTTTTGGACACAGCATCTAAGGTTTTTCGATTAACGTCGTTTTTATGTTTCACTTTTTTCACTTCAAGCAGTATCATCATTTTGGGAACCAAATTACTTATTATAAAACTACTTTTCAGCAACCTTCCTAATTCTACTGTGAATGTTTCTGTTGTGGACAAAGTGAATTCCTTCAATAACCTTTTCATGATTTGCTTACAATTAACACTTTAAAGTTATACTGAAAATTTAAACATGTTCACTTATAGATGTTCATTTCATTTTGTACTCTTTGTTATCAGTTTTCAAAGTGACTGTGTAATCAAGAGAAAATCCAGAATATACCGAGCACAATGATTGTCTAGTCCAAACAGGCTCTTCATTAGCATTAAGTGCTAGGGTTTTGCAAAGGTTAGCAGAATGTAAAGGCTGCTCAACCACCTGTATAACTCAAGTGGTTGACAAACCATGTACATTTAGTGTGGCTTGGACAATAAGTCAGGTCATACAGTACATGAGAAATACTTACATTATAAATCATCCCAGACAACAAAAGAACCAGACAAAAGCCACATGTGAAAATGAAGGTACAGAACATCATGGTAAAAGATTAACATCTGAAGCTTATGTAAAAATGGACCTCTGAGACGGAAGAGATAGAGGGCCCCAGAATCATCAAAAAGCAAAGGAGCAAAAAACATGACTGAGCTGGCCAAAGAGAGGAAATAAGAAGAACCTGGCAAGGAGTACTGTAAATTAATAGCAGCACCCTGGAAAGTATATAATTTGTGGAAATTGCAAGAAACAGATATAAACAGCAACTCATCTCTTTAGAGTTTCTAGAAAGGTTGAAGAATAGTGACTGGATGTAAACAAAACCCAGAAGTAGAAGAAACTACAATATGGTGTAAGGAATGTCATACGAAGGTCTTTCACATATCCCACTTCCAAGAAGCATCAATGGTCAGAAGCAACAGAAGGTGTGTGGTGACAATGGAAAGTTTGTTTGTTTGTTTTGAATTTCATGCAAAGCTACACGAGGGCTATCTGCCTAGCCGTCCCTAATTTAGCAGTGTAAGACTAGAGGGAAGGCAGCTAGTCATCACCACCCACCGCCAACTCTTGGGCTACTCTTTTACCAACGAATAGTGGGATTGACCGTCACATTATAACGCCCCCACGGTTGAAAGGGCGAGCATGTTTGGTGTGACGGGGATTCGAACCCGATTGCGAGTCGAGTACCCTAACCACCTGGCCATGCCGGGCCACAATGGAAAGTAATATGAAAAAAACAAAGGGAATCATGTCCCATAAAGGAATAGACAAGCTGGATGAGTTTCTTTACTTAAATGATCAAGGTAGAAGCAGAGCAGATACAGCATGAAAAGAAGAGGAATCTCAAGGCAAAAAAAAAGATGATATCAATTGCCTAGAAAAATAAACAAAAAAATCAGGGCAAGCATGATAGCAGCAAATTGCCTGAACAAAACAAAGGAAAAAACTGGGCTTTGAATGATCATACAGAGAAAGAATGGAATGGAGTGTAATTACAGAAAACATCTATTCACCCTCCTGAGCAGCCCAAGTCTTATGGAAGAAGGAATGGTCTGACAATAAAAATCTACCTGAGTAGTAACTAATGCAGGGGTGTCCAAAGCAAAAATATCAGAGTGACATCTCCTTCAAGCACAAAAGAAGGTAAACACTTAAAAGAAATATGGTACAGGTAGACAAAGGTTCAAAAGGTTTGAATGGAGAGCAAGTAAGAGCCTTGATAACTAAATTGAAGTTCTAGTCCAGAAGAGAAACTAGATGAGTATGATGACAATATAAAGACTCAGGAGAGGTCCATAAAATCAGAGAAGGAAAAAAGAATAGCAAGAGAAAAGATGCAAGGTCATCAACAAAGTCACTATGTAACTTGCAATGGAAGAAACATATAGATTGCTCTCTAAAAAGGAAGTGAGATGAAGAGTCGGATGACTTGGAAGAAAGGAGTGGCAAATACACTGTTGTTGATATGTCATCCACTTGTAGTGATAAATTGCAAAGGTGGATGGCTGACAAGTGCAAGCAAGAAACATGTGCTACTCTGCAAGAAAAACCTGCCCATCTTGAAATAGACTGAACAAAAGCCACATGTGAAAATGATGGCATGGAACACTGTGGTAAAAGATTGACATCTGATGCTGATGTTAAAAGAGACCTCTAAAACTGAAGAGATAAAAGCACTGGAATCACCAAGAGACAAAGGAGTGGAAACCATGACTGAGCTGGCCAAAAAGAACCCGACAAGGAGTGATGTAAATTAATAGTAGTAACCTGGGAAGAAGTTGAAGAGAAGGAAAGGCATCCAGAAAATTTGGAAGGTTTCAGAAAAAAACATATGAGAAGGCAAATTCAATAAGAACCATGAAACTGAATACATGGAATATTATTATTTCTACATTGTTGTTGTTTTATTTATCAGTAGGTCTGGTATGTTTGTGTTATTTTCATTTTGACACAACTGAGATTAAATGTCAGCTTCTACTGAAACTGGGTTAATGATGATGAGGAAATGAGGAATAGTTCTGCCAAAAAAAGACCTTATCACAAACTTTGGAATATATGTCCAAAAATTTCATAGTATGACTAAGAGAAAGAAATCAAGAAATATAATAAAAGACAGTTTGTATCAGAAGCTCTAACAGAAATTAGTGTAAACATCTGTTATCTTTCTTTCTCAAAATCAAGGAAATGAAGGTAAAAAAGATAACACTCCAAATGTTAACAAAAAGTTGAAAATAATGTTAGCAAAAAATTCATAATTCTTAATAAAAAAAGAGCACAACTGAACAATGCAATGCCAAGGAAAAGAACGAGTTTTTGATATATGGAAAGTGTTCAAGGGAGTACTGTGCATAGAGAATGTGTTGGCTCCCTACTGGTGAAGCATTTTAGTATAACACTGGTAGCATCATATACTGGCAAATTACATATTATTGCATGTAGGGGTGGGAGTTTTCTTTAAAAGCTTACCACATATGAAAAACTTTTTGCCAGTGATGTAAGGTATTAGCTCATTGTTCTGTAGAAAGATGAAAAGCATTTCTGAGCTCTTCAATTTTTATTTTCAAGTATAAAGTTTCCAATAGTTTGACTGTAGCATACATGATTGCATAATAGTAGACCTAAACTTTCATAATACATTAATGGTTATCTTAGCTGTATGTAACAGGGCAGACCAACTCCAGAATTGTAAGAAATAGTTATCTATTTGAAAAAAATAAACTTCTTTTATAATTCAAATTAAACAGCAGCTGTCACAATCTTATTCACTAAAGTCAAAAATTATAAACACTACATACCAACTATATATAATCCTATCCAATCAGAGGGTGTCACCTCCTCTTTGATGTCCCATGATATAATTAGTGGATCCTGTGAACCAAACACAAACTCTGTTCTGGAGACTGACAAACTTGAACGAGTATGTGAAGCAGGTGGTCTAATCTGTGCAGGGTGTGTTTGAAGGCCAGTTCCAGTTCCAGATGCTGTGGGTGGTACCGGAGCTCGGCGTTGTGGAACACCCTGACTAGAAGTAGGGGCAAGAGGAACTGGGGGCCTCCGAGGAGGCGGAGGTTGGGCTGTTCCCTGAATGTTGGTGCTTAATGCTCCTACAGGCTCCAGCATCAGAGCTAATTGAGGACTGCTGCAGCCCCAGCAATCACAAAAATCTTGGTCACCTGGCCACCCTACTTCTGAGTGACCTTTTCATGGTCCACCTGTAATGAGATTACATGTCAGTCACATATTGTGGTTATTCACCAATCTTATTAAAATTACACATGTAATAACACTATTAATTAGAGTAGTGGTTACTACCAGGAAACATATCCCCTTGAAAGTTAATTTAATAGTTTAAGAAAAAATCTATCAAAACTTCATGTATAAATCAGACAAGTAAAAACATTTACCAAAAAACAGGTGACTTTTTTATGATATACTTGTATGAGCATAAGTAAATTACAACATTATAACCAGTTGTGCATTCTCGTTACTGGCCTGTTTGCTAAAATATACAAAAAAAGACAAATATTAAAAATGTTGTGACAAAGAAATCCATTCACACACACACACAGTGCTTTCATTGTTGAGACATAAATAAAAGTTTGAATTTAGTCTATAGATTCTTCTTATGAGAACACACAGTACACAGATTATCCAGTTATTCTATAAATTGAATGTTATTTATACATTTCATTCATTTTTCAGCTAATCAGCCTCCAATGAAAGTCAGATTGCTCAAACACACATTACATCAAAATACCTGTAAGGTTATACATTTTATGTGTAAAGGACAGTGTAAGCAAAAAGTTCATTCATAACGAGTAGAAACAGGTTTCACACACACACCTTGGTAAAACAAATAGGCACCACCATAATGGTTACCTCTTACAAAGACACACAAAAATACTAATATTTCACAGAATTGTAATGATAGTGAATTCCAATGAGTAAGATATACAAAGGAAAACTTTACATGTGTATTTGAATAAGGAAATTCTGTAACAGAAGTTTTTGACCCCGGATACAAATTTATAGTGAAAAATAAAATACCCTATTATAATTTGATACATGTAACAAGCCATCAACTCTAACAAATGTGCAGAGATAAAAAAACAGCAACAGAAAAACAAATAGAAATTATAATTCTCTGAAAATGTAATAAAAGGCCAGATGGAGTAATTACATAGCAAAAGTATTCAAAGAGATGCCATTACAATGTCAGGCTAATTACTTACAGATTAGAAGGCTAGATGATGTTACAGCCATAAGACTGGAATACTACAAGATTTGGCTAACTTCCACTCACTTTACCTTGTGATCTTGAAAATGCACTTAGCTTTTGTCCTTAAGTTTTCAACCTTCCGAATATAGCTGATCATAAACTTGTGACCAGAATTTACAATTTTTTATTTTTGTATATGGGTGACTTCATCTTTCTTGTCTAGAAAGTGACAATGTCACTCTGAGGCAAAATATGAGCCTCCTAACTTTTACTCATAAAATGCTTTGATGACACAATACCGGCTTGCAAACACAGTTAAATGCTTAAGTATCATGGAAAGAAGAAGGTAAAATTGGAATATTAATTCATACATTCAAACAGCTAGTATAACGAAGCAACTCTGGCACCATACCAGAATTCTAGTGTTAAATTTTGGCAACTGTAATATTAAAATATAGTACAAAAGTGTTATATTTGAATAACTAGCAAAAACTTTCTAGCTCTGATTAATAAATTACACACATTAAAATTTAACATAATTACTAGAAAAATAACTTATTTTAAGAAAGGAAACTAAGAAAAATAATTAACATCCCAAGTTTATAAACATGTGCTAAAATAGACTGATCGCAATCTTTCAAAAATTTCCTGTAAACATTCCAGGCAAAATTCCAAATTTTCCAGGCCTACACATACGAGCATATGACAAACGGATATTTAAACTTTTTTTAATAATTCTGACTTCAGACTACAGTAATATAAGAAAAGGTTTCAATAATGAACATTACAACTTGATGGCTGTTGATAAAATGTTGCATTTTTACTCATAAAAGAATATTTGACTTAATATATATTATAAAACACAATGAATCAAATAATTATCACCATACAAAATTAAAATAACTGACCAAAAATATATTAATATTTATATATCCATAGTGGTTGGAACCCCACAACTTTTCTTGTTTTTCAGACTTTCTGACTCCTTTTTTTTTAAAAAAAAAACTTTTGGCCTTTTTCAAACTTAGAGCAACCCCATTAGATTACACCGTGAAAATAACAGTTATATATCCAAATGTATTAAATCAATTAGATTTTCTCTACAGTTAAAATAATAAACTATAATATGCATGCAGAACAAAAACTATAACACTGAAAGACAGGTGGCTTTTTAATTTTGAGTACCAGTATGCTTATCTTTATTGACCATCTAGATACTTAACTCAAATTCACTACTACACATTGTAAATTGAGATTTGTTATTGCTGTAATAGAATTTAAAGTTATATAGTAAATAGAAACAATGAACAGTATATTTCTTAAATTTATACTACTTTAATGGAAGATAAATCATGTTTTTTGTAAGTGTGCTCTAAGTGTTTCAAATTATCAACTATAATCATTGTAGTGTACTGTTTTGAGAAAATAATTGTAATACAAATACAAATTATAATATTCTGTTAAATTATGACAGCAAAATCTCAACAGAAATAACAATGATAATACAAGTATATATATAATTATCATACTGTAAGTATTATTACAGCTTTGTCAACAAAACTTCCAATAAAAGATTACTCTACCATCAAAACTGCTTCCTCAGGCACCCATTGAAATCTGTTAAGCTTTCATTACTAAGCTATCTATTACCTCACACAACAAAACATTGAGCGGTCTCACCGGTGTTTAAACACTGTGCTAGCGTCACGATAGGTACCTACGTGCTAGTGTTAAGAGCCGGTCTTCACTATACACCGCCCAAAGTAGCCCTGCATCTTAACTAACGGTTACCATGACTACGATTCAACGGTATGTGCTGGCCAAAAAATCCCCAGACAATACAAACGGCAATGAATCTACCAGCTGGCTATTACGTCACCAAACAAACAGCCACAAGCATGGTGGAAAACATTGTCCTAATTGCAATGTAACTTAAGTTACACATAAATAAATATCATTCTTACATTTCTTAATACAGTGTTAATTCCTTAGCTGCAAATTTTCTTCAACTGAGAATCAAATCAGAATATATAATTCTGATATTTTTTTCGCTCTAGACTTTCGGGCCACGGAAGAAAACCACGGCGTACTTAATGCTGCTATTTCCAAAAGAATAAAACCCATTACTTGTTTATGGGAGCGATCAGAAACTCGATAATGAAAAGTACAGATGTTAAATATGTAGAATATTGCGCATCAAACAAAAGCAACCTCATAAAAAGTACGCGCATTTAGCTCCTTTAAACCTGCCACGAAAATAAACGTTTGTAAAATAAACCTGTTATGACCTTACTTTTTAAAGTCATGTTTCACGAAAAATAAAATCACTGTTCGATTTTAAGGAATACCACCTATACGATATGACGCCTCAAAATCAAATGATATCTTTCGGGGGTATGATATCATACTAATTTAAAAAAAAAAAAACATCTCAAAAAACCTAGCTACAATACATAATGCTTACACACATTGTTAAGCGAGAATATTGGACGCTGTACTTTATTATTTATATCAAAGGCGAATTTCATTTACTTTCTAACTATGTTTACCTGGTCATCTTAGGTTTAATCACGCTGTTCCTATAGTCATGCAAGCATTACATAAGTGATAAGTGTGTACATTTCTGGGAAACTTTAAATATCTCAGTAATCTGTATTTATAAACTTGACTTAAGTATTTAAGTATTTCTTATTTTTTCATCAGGAGCAACTATCTTTCCACTGTTGATTGTAGATGATAAACGATAGTTTTACATATAAAACGTTGTGGATTCGAGTATACGTATATGTTCTTGATTTCATATTCAAATAAGTTCATTCCAAAAGTGACGTTTGCGAATAAAAGTTACACTTTAAAGAGGATGTACCCAGACTACTGTGTAGGTCATACCTCTCCTACTACCATAGTCACTAACACCTGAGCACCCCTAAAATTTATTGATGCAGTGCTGATGAGCGCCCTGGATCCTATGCCTATTATGATACATTCTGCCGTTCCCACTCTACAGTTTATACACTTTTTCTGCCCTAATTGATTTTAGCCAAGTTATTTGCAATTAAAAAATTAACAATAGTAAAAGATTTTATGTTACGCTCTCTTTCCTATATAAACATGTACCATAACTTTAGTTTTATTTTTAAATATAAAAAAGTAATAGCAGTTCTGTGACAGTCAATTTTAATATACTCTGAAACTCTTCAGAGGCACAATTTATATGAGGTGAGTTGTAAAAGATAAAATGCACAAGTGATAAAAGCAGTGTGCAACAACTTTAGGTAAGATAAACAACACTATCACCACCAACATAAGACATTTGAACTTTTTTATTTCATGCGATATGTTGGGCAATCATCCTTATCGAGTCTTTGCATAACTCTACCAGAGATGAGTACTAAATGTTATATGAAACAATATTATTTTATTAAACTATATCTGTAAAATTATCACATATTAATGTTTTAAAAATAATTATCCCTCATATAACTGACTTAATTTTTACACTATTCATTACTGATGAGGTTCACAATACTATATCACTTTAAGTAACTTTATTTTTGTTTGTTACAACCCCTAGTGTGAAGAATCCCCCCCCCCAAAAGAAAAATCACCAATTTTTGAAGTAAACCACATAAGTGCCCCAGCATTAATTAGTGCAGTTAACTGCAATACTGGTGTTATTTTTGGTTGTATTTGTGTGTGTGTGTGTGTGTCTCTCATGATATTGAGCAGCCACAAGTAAATTAGAGAATAAATGGTATACAAAAATGTATTTTACAAGCCTTTTGGTAATTATAGGATTAGACATGTCAGAATAATAATAGTAAAACGTATGAATAACTAGTTAGATAACAGAATTTTTACATTTAATTCCACAGACTGTAAACTTCCAAGGTAAACACTGTCTGGTGCTCTTCCCTTTCACATAATAATCATTCCTAAAAGTCTACTTCAGAGACATCAAAGGCGAGCAAGTCACACACACACACACACACA